AAATATCCTCGGGTGAGGATAAAAAAAAAAAAAAAAAAGAAGAATAAAAAATATTTTAAAATAGTTCTTTCAAATTCTCCCTCTTGGGTTATGAGCTTTATGATGTATTAGATATCACTAATAACTTAGAATACAAAATGATTCACATACTTTGACTAATACGTTTTTTGAAATGTAGAGAAATTAAAATTGAGAAACTATATGAGATAAATCAGCAAAAATCTAAAGATTTACAAAGTTCCCAAATTAACCCAGTTTCCATGTTTTCCTGTAGGTTTATGAATTTACCTGTAAAGATTAGCTTATTTTATCTCTGCCTGATAGGTACTATTAATAATAGGTATTATTAGTGATTTTAGCTACTTCTTTTTTAAAAAATCTACAGCATTCTGTTCCTAATGGAAAATTCATAGCTATATCAAACAGATGGCTTATTTTTGCATCTCCCAAAGAACTATGCATGGGATTTTTTAAATGAACTGATTCTGGAAACAATGAGTTTTTATGTTGAATTCCCTAACTAAGCTGACTTTAATACATCTAAATAGGATTTCTGGTTTAGTACTTATTCTATTACCAAATATCGTACTACTGAATAATACATGATTTTAGGAATAGAGTCAAACTTTATTTTTTAAATGGCTAAACACTTAAGAATCTGGAACACTCCAAAAGGGTATATATTTGTTACATTGTATTCAACTTCTAAAAGCAGATGAAACTCATAAATTCCATTCTGTGATTGAGGAAGGTTATCTCCAGTATTTCCCATTTAAAATAATTTTTTGCACAAAATGGTGAATGAAAATTTATTAGTTATTGACTCTTAAGAAAAGTATCAGAGAAATATAAAGCCTACTGTGGGAGTACTACAGTATCTGGGAACCTGTGTGGTTAAAATGGTAAAAATGTTTTCATTCTTCATTTGCTCTATAAAGTTAACAATGAAATTTTCATATTTTAAGAGATTATTTTTCTACCCTGTCTTAAGTTTCATGACTTTTTGTTTCCTTTGAGCCCGTGGTTCTTTTTCTAGGATATTTTTTTTCTAAAAAAACCTGTTTAAAATGTTTATCACAGCCTCAGATATAATGGTAATAAAAGGGCGATAATTTTAATGCTGAAGAGAAGGAAAAATGGCTTTCTAGATTACTGTGGTAGATTAAGTGAAATTTGATATTCTTAATATCTTATAGAATACATAAGGATATGCAAAGATACAGTATATTTCTAAGTGAAAAATTATAAAACCTATGTACCACTCTGACTCCATTATGAACACATTATATTTATATTTACATTTAGTGTATTTTTGTTTTCATCTGTGTATATACATGTACAAAAGACTGGATTCATAGATAAATAGGAGATTAAACATTTTTTAATTTTATGTTTTGCTTATTTGTATTTTTTCAGAATTTAAAAATATTTTTCCAGTTTTATTGAGATGTAATAGATATATAACATTGTATAAATTTAAGGTGTACATTGTGATGATCTGATGCACATATATTGCACAGTGATTACCACATTAAGGGTAACTCCTCTGTCACCTTACGTAATTGCCATTTCTTTTTAACAGGGAATTTATTTATTTATTTTTTATTTGATTAATTTATTTTTTTGTTACAGATGTTTCTCTTTTTCCTCCCATTGACACCCTCCTCCATTCCCGTCCACAGCATTGTTGTCTATGTCCTTTGGTTATGCTTATATGCATAAATTCTGAAGTTTGTCAGTCTGAACCCTACTTCTATGTCCCTGGGTCTATTTTGTTCATCACCTTACTTTGTTCATTATATTCCACAAATAAGTGAGATCATGTGATACTTGTCTTTTTCTGACTGGCTTATTTCCCTTAGCATAATCGTCTCCAGGTTCCTCCATATTGTCTCAAAGGACAAGAGATCTTTCTTTCTTGTAGCTTCATAATATTCCATTGTGTATATGTACCACAGCTTTTTTTATCCACTCATCTATTGATAGACACTTAATTCATACAACTCAACAAAAGGAAGACAAAGAATCCAATTATAAAATGAGCAGAAGACCTAAATAGACACCTCTCCAAACAGGACATACAAATGGCCAAGAGACATGTGAAAAAATGCTCAACGTCACTAATCATCAGAAAGATAAAAATTAAAATGACTATGAGGTATCACCTCACCCCTGCCATCAACAAATCATCAAACAAGTGCTGAAGAGAGTGTGGAGAAAAGGGTACTCTAGTACACTGCTGGTGGAAATGCAGACTGGTACAGCCACTGTGGAAAATAATATGGTGTTTCCTCAAAAAATTAAAAATTGAACTGCCATTTTACCCAGTGATCCCACTTCTGGGAATATACTCTAAGAAGTCTGAAACACCAATCAGAAAGAATATATGTACCCCCATGTTCATAGCAGCACTATTTACAATTGCTAAGACCTGGAAACCATTTCTTTTTTATGGTGAGAACATTTAAGATCTATTCTCTTAGCAACTTTCAAGTATATAATACAATATTGTTTACTATAGTCACCATGCTGTACTAAATTTCCTTAATTTTGTACAATGAATGTGTTGTTTTTGTATTGGTAAAAAGTAAACATTTTATTATCATTTGTGACTTGTGCATAAACATTATTTTTAAAATATATTTTTCTTTATTGATTTTAGAAAGAGAGGCAGGGGGGGAGAGAGAGAGAGTGAGAGAGAAACACTGATGAGAGAGAACATCTATTGACTGCCTCCTGCATGCCCCACACTGGGGAGGGGCCCACAACCTGGGCATGTGCCCTGACCAGGAATCGAACTGGCAAGCTCTTGGTGCATGGGTTGATGCTCAACCACTGAGCTACACCGGCCAGGGATAATGAACATTATTATAGCAAATTTATTTTAGCAGAATATCTGTCAACTTCATTACAGTAATAGTTTGAATCTTTTACTAAAATTTTCACAAAAACCTTGACTAATGGTTTTGAAATATGAAGGACATGATATCCCCCCCCCCTTTTTAAATTTAGATATTTCAGAATCAATATCTTGAAGGGAGTGAGCTACAGATATGTTCCATAACAATTATAAAAAAAATCAGCCCATTTGCTCTCCAGACCAAGTGATGTTTTTATTGAGAGAGGTATAGTACTCAAGATAATTCCCATATAACACTGAAATCAGCATTAAAGGGTTTTGAATTGTAGCTGATGAGTATGAAGGGCTGAAAAGCGAAATTATTTTTTTTTAATGTTCTAAAACTCTTTAAATTTCTAAGAGCTGCATTAAAGAGATTCATACATTTCTTATTTTTAAACACATATGAACACATGATAGAATAGTAGGAAAAAACAATGAGGCTTGACCTTTTTTATACTTCAACAACATTTGAAGAAATAATTACTGTTGAAATGTAAAAAATGCACTTTGGAAAATGTTTGTTTGTTTTTTTTGTCAATTTTATTGAAACCTGAACAGCTGTTTATATTGCATACTATTGTGACTAGAGGCAAAATAACAACATAGCACTTTTTTTTTTTTTCCTGGACATTATATGTTATGTTAAATGCAATTACAAAAGTCAAAGTATAAACACATTTCATTAGTCATTCAAAATAATCCTGTTATTTGTAATTTATTTAGTAGCATTCGAAGTGAAAAATTAGACATTCACATGATTTAGTTTTTGGATACTTGTTTTATCCCCATCTGAATTAATTGAACTGTGTTTCTAGTAGATATCTTAAGCGTGAAGGATAGAGCATGGGAAAGTTATTATGAAAAAACACTTTTGAAAGATTTGTGAACCATCTCATATTGTCGACTCACAGTCTTTTCTTTAGGGTGTTTGGATCACTAATACTATTTTTTTCTAAGAATATAAACCAATGCATTTAGTTTGTTTAGTTGCTCTTCTTATCTTACTTTCAAAAGCTTTGTTATTAATTATCTTGCCTGTTTTCCTACTATAGGCCATGCAATATTTGGCCAATAAAAATAATCCCATTTGGACAGAATTACAAAATAGTCATTATCCTTTGAAGATAATTTTGATTAAAAGGTAAATTCAGGCTTCTGGGCATCATACAGGTTATTGCTGTGATATGAAATTGTTCCTATAAAAATTACTGATTGTTACCAATTTTGTTTGTTTTTAAGGCAAATGCTGTCACTAGGATTAAAAATAAATTTTGTTTATATTTTCAAATAATTGTTTAAAATAGTTTGAAGTAGGATTTCTGAATTAATTATTGTTTTAAATATTTTAGATTAAGAATCCTGAACACTAGATCTCCTGGGAGAAGAGGGAAGGCAGACAAGTCATAGTAGAATGCTTTAAATACTAATTATCCAGAATGGAATATAGTAAACTGTTTCAAATATCCTTCCACTAATAATGATAGGATGTCTTTAGATAAATTTAAAAAATTTATATTTATTTTGCTAATTGATTGGTATATTCATCATCCACAGATATATTAGTGAAAGCCGGATTCTAAATGACTTTCCTTGATAAGCTTTTTGATTAATTCTTCTCACACTGTTTTCCTGGTGACATTTGAACTTCTTTCATTATATAAAACACATCTGGAAAGAGGCATTGTGGAATAATAATCATGGATGCTAACATGTTGAAGATTGTACCTCTGACACAGTCAAATGTGTTCTGGTTTAAAACAATGACCTCAACTGATGTTGCTTTAAGTGAACCACATTTAGAAGGAATATATAGGCATGTCTGTGTAGCCTGCCTGTCTTGTGCTAGAATTGGTCAAAAGAAAAAAAAGAAATCTAATTGCAAACTGTGTCTTCCTTGTCTAGTAAAGTTGACTGAATTAAGTAATATTTTTCTTCTATCTGCACATATTTTTTCCTTTTGCTTGTCTGATAAGAAAAAATATTGTGATCAGTAAATATTAAAAAGGATTATCTAAAACATATTTTAAACCATCTATTACTTATAACTTATATTTGCATCATAGGGTTACTGAATTTCGTCTGTAGTGTATTTCTTAAGAGAAGATGCTGATAAGATCTTGTTTAAATGGCTCGCTAATACAAGACGCAGATCGTTTAAAATGAACCCTACATCTTTATAGGATGTTAGAAATGAAGACATTACCTCAAAATGTAGGTAATTATTGCCTCCTCTTTTATCAGTGCTATTTTCTGAGATATTATCATAAGAGAGCACTTTAGTATTAAGCAGGGCTTTCGAGTGGCAATAAATCAGTCCAACTGAGTCATCATTGTCTAAGGCATCCGAACTACTGCAATGTTGTGGATCCTACCGAGAGTGTGAAATCACTTGACCCTTGGCATTAACCTTTGCTGAATGAATAGACACTGCTTTCCACATCGAGGAACAAAGCAGAAGACTATTGATTAAACACCACATTCACTTGATATTAAATACTGGTTGAACTCACTTCTTGCTTCTTTTTCCAGAGGGAGAAACCCAGAGAGTTGCTGAGTCTCAGGAGAATGGATGTTTGTAATTCAGAGCAATGTTTTTTTCACAAAGTACGTTTTTTCTCCTTTGATCAATAAGTAGCATCCATGATCAGCCATGAGTATGTATTGTCAATTTTGACCTGTGTATTTTATCACTTAAGGTGAGAGGTCACAGTGCTGTGACTAATATTTCAGTTCTAAGCATGAATTGTTTCCTGACTTCAATATCTGTTTGAAAAAGCAATTTGTTTTATTTTATTTCTTGTTTAGGAATGATTGTTTGGCGATTGATTTTTCTGCATTAGTAAAAATGATTTTTTAAAATTTCTTTGGTTTCATTACTGTTTTTGCAGATGTTGAATTTTCTAGAACTCTACATTATAGAAGACATAATAATAAAGGGACATTTTAGGATTTATGATATATTTTGGGGGAATGAAAAAAATCATAGTTAAATAAATTTCTCAAGATGGAAGAAAATAAGAGCTTTGGAAGAGACTGTAGCAATATGTATGAGTGTAAAGAAAACAATAAGATATTTTGTAAGAAGTCTGACCTACACTATTGACAACAGTTTGGCAACTATTTTTTTGTAGACTTGCCCTATCAAGAAGGAGAACATGTATAATTGACAGATAAATCAATTCAATTCTTGGAACTAGAGGTAAATTAAAAAAAATTTAGCTGTAAATGAAACAATCATTTTTATTTTACATTTAAGTAGTTTTTGTGTGCTTCTATAACTGGAATTACTTTATTTTAAGAAGCAACATAAATAACTACAAGGTCTTTCTTCTCTCTCCAAGGTTACATATTATTTTGGACCCAGGATATTACATCAGTAAAACTCCTTATAAATTATTGTTTCCATCTCTAGAGGTTTTGACTGGCTTGTGTTCAACACCCGGAATTCCAGATCAGCCAGTTGTGAATTTGTCATGGTTGAGCAAAAATCTCTCGTTGCCTGAATAATAGAAAATATTTCCTCTAAGGACATAATGGTGTAATTTAATACACGCACAGTCTCACACAGTTTGCACAATTTTTGAAAAGGAGTATTGGAAGAGTGAGGGAAGTTGATAAAGTGAATCATGCTGCTAAACTTAATGGTCAATCCTTTTGATTTGATGTTTTCTATAGGATGTGTAGCCCCTGAAATCTTTCTCTGAAAGCTACTGAAGCTTGGAATACGATGAAAAACATTATGTTTAAACACTATTTTGGCTATGTATCATATGTTCCTTTTTCTTTATTACTAAGGGCATTTGTATAGAAGTCATTTTTATTCACTATTATTTTGAACACAGGTATATGTACAAGAACCTTGGAATTCACTTTGGCACTTGGGAGTACCTATGGACAATTTATGGATGATATGATATAGTACCAACTTGTTTTGTGGATTCCAAATAGGATAACATTAATTATCTGCAAATACTAATATTTTTAAGGTTATATTTAATGAAAATATTTAACTAGAACTTGTTGCTCTGGGGTATCAAATAAATGTTTTTTATTCTGTGGTACATGCTAATGAATGAGATATTTTTGTGTTATTTTAGAAATAATCATACTAGATAGAGAAATAGCTTCTCAAGGTCACAAGGTTACCTGTGCTGTGATTACAATCATGCAGCACATACTACAGACCCTTTTATAACTCTTTGGTGACTGTTTGTTCTTCCTAATGAAATTATTTTAAACTGAGGTTGTGAGGTATAATAAATTGTAATTATTGTATTGTAACAGGAATATTGGAACTCCATATTCAGAATTGAAAGATGAAAGGAGAGAAAGAGGAAGAGGAAGGTGAAGAGGATGAGTAATAAGAGAAAGAAGAAAGCACTCTGGTCTCATTCCTACAGCTTTCAAAAGAAAAGACAAGTAAGAACCTCACTTGAGATATATGCAAAAATAGTGTTTATGCTAACAGGAATGAAGAGTTTTTAATTTTTTTTAATGCTCAAAACAGTTAGTAGGGTTTCATTCAAATTTCTGTTCAATTAAATTCCCCATCCCGTTTTTAGAGATTATCCAGATATAGTATAGAACACATCTAGGTAAAGTTAAGAGTGATTCTACTATTTATAGGAGAAGTCTGGGATGGTTACTCATGAAACTATATTGTTTTTATGTTAAAAACAAAAGTCTCTGTGGGGGCTTTGGACAAGTTAAGAGAGTATAAACTCTAAAAGCATTCTGCCACAGGTAGATTTTTAAAAATTAATCTTTTCTGAGGTATGCTTTGACATGGTTCCCATTCATCTGATTAGTCACAAAAACTTCTTTTAAAAAGTTCTGTATAACACTTCATATCTTCTTTATAATTTAATTATTTTTTATTGTTGAAAGTATTACAGATGAACAGTTCATATCTTAAAAGAGGACAGTTCCAAAGGTTTAGTGATGGTCTTTTGTTTGCCTGAACTGTCAACAGACTTTGAAATTGACTACACATTGTTAAATCTTTGCTTGGGATCTAGTATATAGTTTATCTGACACAGTAGAGTTTATCTTTCTACATTTGTCATTCCAAATAAAAGATATCGACCAGAATTTTTGTGACTCTGACCAGCAGAAAAACTCTGTGACATGCTACTCAAGGCTGAAATGTAGCCAACGGAAATGGAAACACTTCTTGCCCCTGTGGCAAGAATGACTTCCCTTCAGATGAGGTTGATCAGATTCTTTATGCACCCAAAGGGAGGTACATGTGCTGGGCATTGTGTTTTTGTTTTTCTGACCTACCTGCTCCTTAGAGCTATATCCTAAGACTGTTGTGTGAGTAAAACCTTTCAGAACTCTACATCATTGATCTAGCCAAAATCACACTGATCTTTCGGCTTTTCACTAAACTTTACTTAAGTGAAAACTAACCCTCTCCCTCCTGTTTGGGGTTATGATTGACTGTATGTCTTTTGAATGGTGTAAAAATGTTGTCTGTGAAACCGGAACACTGCTTTAAAATGTCTTTAAAACAAGGAAAGATAAATGTGTCCCCTCAACCACTATAGAGTATGATAAAAAAATAAAGACTATACACTGTGTTGTTAATGTTGACCTTTAGAGAATCTATTTTAGAACATCTCAACAGCTTGAAACCACTTTTCTCTTTTTCCCCAAATTTGTTAATTTAAAATTTATTTTTTAAAACAAGAATTTTACAAGGGTAAATTTTAAGTCACTAATGCAATTTTGAAATATGCTACATACATATTTATTGAGAATCACTTAAATACTTTAATTTTCCGGATAGCAAACAGATGATACTTTCTCCCTGAGATATAGAACCAGAATAGGCAAGGAAAAAATATAGGAAATAGGGGGCCAGAGGACGTGAAAAACTGCTCAGAAAAAGGAATAACACCAGAAGATACAGACACGTGATCTACTGCAGAATGTTCCCAGTCCTGTTCTCCATTCTGACTTACTCCCTAATCACTTAGAATCTGTGGACTTGATATGAAGTTGAGCTACATATACATTGTATAGGTAATAAGATATAAAAATGCATAATAAAACTGTGTTAATTGTCTTTTATGTGGGCAGAGTTGATTTCAGCGGCTAAGCTTTCATGTTGTTTATAATTTCATGACACTAGGGCAGTCTAAGTACTTAGTAATATGTACGGTCCTCCGTCATTTCTCTTAGTATACACCATGCACATATGTAATTTTTCTACAACTAATAGCTTATTCTTTTATAAACAATGCTAATAGGAATGGGTAATTATCATCTAGTTGCTTAGGACTGTACTTTTGTGTATGCAAGGGCAGACCTCTTGCTCTACCTTTCAAAACAGCATTCCTAAGCATCACAGTGCACTTAGAGCTGCTGAATGGGGGCATGTGTGCTGACCCGGATATTAGCACATTCATCTAGCCAGAAACACTATGAAATACTTTACATTTTTCACATTGCACATCTTTTATGTGAAAACACACATGCACTATAGCAGTTTTAATCAACAATTGTAGCTCTGTTTAAGAATTAACATTTATAATAATAATTTCCTTTCACATTATCATAGTCTAAAATTGGTAATAATAAAATAGGGTGGTCAAAAAATCAAATATTTTTTAAAATCTTGGTTTCTTTCATAGTTTTCTTGTGTTTTCTATTTCAATTTCCTATAAAGGTGATCATAAAAAATATTGTCTGGTTGGGTATAAAAATTATTTAGTTGAGAGGCTCAATCTCTTCACTATTGTACCCAAGTGGGTTAAAAAAGTATATTTAAGATTATTCAGGAATCAATACTGTGTCTCTAATACATTGACCCAAAAGAATTATTTTTAACAACAGAATAGTCTGTTATACAATAATCAACTCTGGCTCTTGTTAAGAGAAAAAGTTATATCTCATAATGCAAGGAATGACATCTAATACCCACAGAAAAATAAAAAGAGAACTTTAAGAACATATTTTGATGTCTACTCTGAAAGAAAAGTACCTGGTGACTGACTATAGCAAAGAACTGCTGTTCTTCCATTTCTCCAGTGTTTATATTACTACATTTTACATTGTTTGAATTCATTTATCTTATGGTTTTATTAAAAGGCTTCTTTTATGATTTTTAGAATAGTCATGATTCTTAAATCAGTTACCAAATATTATTAAATTAGGCAATAACATTATCTATTTTGAATTAAGTGAGGTAACGTCTTTCCTAATTTATATCTATTCTAGAAGAGACTTCTGGGATTATGTTATTGACATGAATATAAGTAATAAAGAATATGAAACAGTTCCTGGCAAAGAAGTTACCACAAGGTATTCAATGTAAAGAAATATCTGATGCTTATCAACATGTCATAAAGAATTTTAAGTAGAACAAAAGTCTTGGGATTTGTGTGAGAGACAGCCTTTGAGATATGTTTGGGCAATCCATATGTTAGAATGAAATCTTAACCTCACTCTCAAATAGCATTTTCCTCCTGTTTGAGTAGCTATTTTATTCACTGAAGAGGACCCTATAGCAGATGTACAATCCTCATCTTAATCCATATCACACTCGATTATAATTGCTTTCCATCTCTGTCACTAACTAGGCTGTGACTCCATGTGAGGAAGAAGAGTAGGTCAGTCAGTATATTTAAGTCCCATTCTCAGAAAGTGAATTTTTATATATACCCCCAGCATTTTGGAAGGGAACTTCAATGTCAAACAACCTAGGCAAAGGGAGTACCAAACATGAGACCAATTTTAAATGTGCAGGCCTGGCACTGACACTTTCTTTTCTTGTTAAAACTCTTCATCATTCTCAACGAGTTTTGTTAAGACTCCCGAAGTCATTAAAAAGTCTCAGTCAAATACAATCTTTACATTTATTGAAGGAATAATAGCTTACTACCAACAAAAAAATGAAACAAGCTATAAATGTAGGTGGCTCTAATGGAGTGTATTATCATAAACTACATGTATAGTTTTAAACAAGGTAAGTTGTATTCCTTAAGACATAAAGAATATTTGCCCAAGGTGAGTTGAATGTTTATCAGTACTAAGGGAAACTTTTAAAATTATTGTTGATGCTAAAAAGCAGTTTTGATAGTGATCATAGCTTGGCCCCAAGGTTTAGTTTGCTTGCTTGCACATTAACCAGAGTTCTTTGGTGCATGGGATGAGAAATGTGGCATTGATTTTGGAATTGGGATCAATAGTCTTTGATCCCACAATGCTATGTCTTCCTTTTTGCAAGTGATAACTGGCAGAAGGAACATTTTCTATCTGTAAGAAGGAATATAAAGAAAATATTTCGAGCTAGAGAGAAGTATATCACTAATTAGTTAATTTTGTCATTTCAGTAAAGGTTAGAAAAAAAGTGGAAGCATCTCGATTATAAAGGTTTACTACTTGGAGAATAGTGTAAACAGGGTTCTGTATTTTAAGTCATTAAAAACAAAACAAAATAAAATAAAAGTTCTCTTTAATGAGCCCAGTCTTACATTACCAAATGGTATGTCATAATTGCTCCCTGGGTTTCCACCTATAAAAATAGATTATTTGTTCTAGGATCAAAATATAATATTAGACATCTTTCAAAAAGCAGAGTAAAAAAATATGAATGAGAAATTTCATGGAGAACCCTAGATTGCATATGAAGAATTAGATAACTTACAGGATATATCTATATAGGTCTACCTACAAGAAAAATGAAATTATTCTAGTACTCCATCTTAGTATTTGAACTTTGATTCATTTTAAGGGTCTCTATGTTTTATTATTTTATTTTTCTATATAATTTATTGAATTTTATGATTTCATTTATATTTTATATGTATTTTATTTATTACTTTTTAAATTTAAATAATTTTAAAATTTTCTATTACAGTTGACATATTATATTAGTTTTAGGTCTACACTCTAGTGATTAGACATTGTATAATTTACTAAGTACCCATCTGACAGCATGCATATTTATTAGAATATTATTGACAACATTTCCGATGCTATACTTTGCATCCCCATGACTATTCTGTAACAATCAATTTATACTTCTAAATTTCTTTCTTTCTTTTTTTTTTTTTGCAGACTTTTTCTTTTTTATTAATTAATTTTTTGTTACAGATGTTTCTCCTTTTCCCCCCACTGATTCCCCCTCCCCCTCCCTCCCTTCCCTGCCCCCTGTTTGTTGTCCATGTCCACTGTTCATGCATATGTTCTTTGGTTTATCTCTCCCCCACCACCCCCTCTTCTGGGGATTGTCAGTCTGTACCCCACTTCCACATCTCTGGGACTACCCCATTTGTCAGACTGTTATGTTCATTATATTCCACAAATAAGTGAGATCATATGATACTTGTATTTCTCTGTTTGGTTTGTTTCACTTAGGATGATACTTTCCAGGTCCCTCCATGTAGTCTCAAAGGATAAGAGATCTTTCTTTCTTACAGCTGTGTAGTACTCCATTGTGTATATGTACCACCACTTTTTTATCCATTCGTCTACTGATGGACACTTGGGCTGTTTCCAGATCTTAGTGATTGTAAATAGTGCTGCTATGAACATGGGGGTACATATATTCTTTCTGATTGGTGTTTCAGGCTTCTTAGGGTATATTCCTAGAAGTGGGATCACTGGGTCAAATGGAAGTTCAATTTTTAATTTTTTGAGGTAACACCATATTGTTTTCCATAGTGGCTGCACCAGTCTGCATTTCTACCAGCAGTGTACTAGAGTCCCCTTTTCTCCACACCCTCGCCAACACTTGTTGTCTGATGATTTGTTGATGGCGGCCATTCTGACAGGTATGAGGTGATACCTCATTGTTGTTTTAATTTGCATCTCTCTCATAATTAGTGATGTTGAGCATTTTTTCATATGTCTCTTGGTCATTTGTATGTCCTGTTTTGAGAGTTATCTCTTTAGGTCCTCTGGCCATTTTTTAATTGGGTTCTTTGTCTTCCTTTTGTGGAGTTGTATGAGCACTCTATATATATTGGAAATTAGCCCCTTATCTGATATACCATTGGCAATTATGCTCTCCCATACAGTGGGTAGCCTTTCCGTTTTGATGACTGTATCTTTCGCTGTGCAGAAGCTTTTGAGTTTGACGTAGTCCCATGTGTTCATTTTCTCCTTTGTTTCTGTTGCCTTAGGTAATGTATCAATCAGTGAAAATTCTGCTGCGTATGATGTCTGAAATTTTGTTGCCTACAGTTTCTTCTAGGATTTTTATGGATTCATGAGTCACATTTAAGTCTTTTAGCCATTTTGAGTTTATTCTTGTGTAGGGTGTAAGTTGATAGTCTAGTTTCATTTTTCTGCATGTAGCTGTCCAATTTTCCCAGCACCATTTATTAAAGAGGCTGTCCTTACTCCACTGTATACTCTTGCCACCTTTGTTGAATATTAATTGCGCATATTGCCTTTGGTCCATTTCTGGGTTCTCTGTTCTGTTCCACTGGTCTATATGCCTGTTCTTGTGCCAGTACCAGGCTGTTTTGATTACGGTGGCTTTGTAGTATAACCTGAAATCTGGTAATGTGATCCCTCCAACTTTTTTCTTCCTTTTCAAGATTGCTGTGGCTATTCGAGGTCTTTTTGGTTCCATATGAACTTTTGAAGTACTTGTTCTAATTCTGTGAAGTATGTCCTTGGTATTTTGATTGGGATTGCTTTTAATCTATAGATTGCTTTGGGTAATATGGACATTTTAATGATGTTAATTCTTCCAATCCATGAACAGGGTATGTGCTTCCACTTTTTTATATCTTGCTCTATTTTTTTTTTTTTTCAATGACCTGTAGTTTTCTGTGAATAGGTCCTTTATTTCTTTGGTTAAGTTTATTCCTAGGTATTTTAATTTTTTTTGCCGCAATGGTAAATGGGATTGTTTTCTTAGTTTCTCTTTCTGTGAGTTCATCCTTGGTGTATAAGAATGCCATTGATTTCTTGACGTTAGTATCCTGCTACTTTGCCAAATTCATTTATTAAGTCTAGTAAATTTTTGATGGAGTCTTTGGGGTTTTCTGTGTATAGTATCATGTCATCTGCAAATAATGACAGTTTCACTTCCTCCTTTCCCATTTGGATCCCTTTCATTTTTTCTTCCTGTCTGCTGTGGCTAAGACTTCCAGTACTATGTTAAATAGGAGTGGCGAAAGTGGGCATCCTTGCCTTGTTCCTGTTCTTAAGGGAAATGCTTTTAGTTTTTGCCATTGAGTATGATGTTGGCTGGTGCCGATTTGCTAGTATTTTGTTCAGGATTTTGGCATCTATGTTCATCAGGGATATTGGCCTGTAGTTTTCTTTCTTTGTAGTGTCTTTTTCTGGTTTTGGAATTAGAATTATGCTGGCTTCATAAAAGAGTTTGGAAGTCTTCCTTCTTCTAGAATTTTTTGAAATAGTTTGAGGAGAATGGGTGTTCTTCTTTGAATGTTTGGTAAAACTCCCCCATGAAGCCATCTGGGCCTGGGCTTTGGTTTGCTGGGAGAGTCTTGATTACATCTTCAATTTCTTCTGTTGCTATTGGTCTGTTCAAGATTTCTATCTCTTCGTGTATACTTCTAAATTTATTCTTCTTCTTCTCCCATCTTCGTATCCCCATCCTATCTGGCAATCATCAAAACATTTTCTGTATATGAGTCTGTTTCTGTTCTCCTTGTTTATATATATTAGATTTATTTGCTGATAAATACGTATTTATTGCCAATTTTTTGTTAATATTTCTTCTTCTTCTTCTTCTTCTTCTTAAAGAGGACCCATTAACATTTCATGTGATACTGGTTTGTTGGTGAGGTAATGAATTTCTTTAGCTTTTCCTTGTCTAAGAAATTCGTTACATGTCCTTTGATTCTAAATTATAGCTTTGCTTGGGAGAGTAATCTTGGTTGTAGGTACCTGCTTGTCAACACTTTGAATATTTCTTGCCACTGCTTTCAGTCCTGAAAAGTTTCTGTTGAGAAATCAGCTGACAATGTTATGGGCACTCCCGCATAGGCAACTAACTGCTTTTCTCTTTAGATTCATCTTTTTTGGGACTCTATACTTCCTAGACTTGTATGTTCATTTTCTTTACTAGGTTAGAGAAGTTTTACATCATTATTTTTTCAAATAGATTTTTAATTTCTTGCTCTCTCTGTTCTGGCACAACCATGATGAAAATGTTGGTATGCTTAAAGTTGTCCTAGAGACTCCTTACACAATCTTCAGTATTTTAAATTCTTTTTTTCTTTCAGCTATCCTGATTGGGTAATTTTTGCTTTGTTATATTCCATATCGTTGTTTTGATTCTTGGCTTCATCTACTCTACTGTTGAGTCCCTGAAAATTA